ACCACGCCCGGCTGATTTTTTTGATTTATTGTAGAGATGAGGTCTCACCAAGTTGCCCAGGTGGGTCTCGAACCCGCCGGTTCAGGCAATCCACTCACCTCAGCCTCCCAAAGCGCTGGGATTACAGGCTGAGCCATCGAGCCCAGCAGGTTGTACACTTTAAATACTTAATTTTTTTTTTTTTAGTTTGAGTCTCACTCTGTCTGTCACCCAGGCTCCAGCTCATGGCCACCACAGTCTCGACCTGCTGGGCTCAAGTGATCCTTCTGCCTCAGCCTTCCAAGTTGCTGGAAATATAGGCGCGTGCTACCACACCTGGCTAATTTTTTGATTTACTGTAGAGATGAGGTCTCGCCAAATTGCCCAGGCTGGTCTCAAACCCCTGAGCTCAGGTAATCATCTCGCCTCAGCCTCCCAAAGTACTGAGATTTCAAGCTTGAGCCACCACACTGGGCCCTAAAAAATTTTTAAATTGCTTCTATGTTAATGGGATGGAGAGGAAGACTAGTATGTGTGTGAGTTTTTAAATGGATACACAAAGTTCCTCAGACCATTAGGCACAGTTTGGTGAACAGCTTGGCCTGTCCTACCTTAAAATCATTGATATATTTGCCATAGTTCACACGTCCCATGTTCTCTACCAGAAGGTCCAAAGTGGCTCCAGCCTTCCCTGTGATATTCAGAGCGATCACACTGCTTCTCTCAAGGACTCCCTGGGGGACCTGTGGGTTCAAGATCAAATGAGAATTGACCTGAAGACAAGAAGATCAGCAAAGAGAGGCAGCCTGCTCAGTCGACTTAGCACTCACTCTTCTGCCTTGAAGGGTCAGCAGACTCAGTAAGGAATGCTCAGATAGTCCCTTAGCCCAAGTCACTGGCCAAGTGGCCAAGTTCCCCTATCAATGCTTCCTAAACAGAAAAATTGCCAGACACAGCTCAGAGCACGGAAAGATCTAAGTTTGTTTCCTTTGCCTTGACGTGTCTACTATGCATCTATTTTTTTTTTCTTTTTGGAGGCTGGGCCTTACTTTGTCACCCAGGCTGGAGTCCAGTGCACGATCACGGCTTGCAGCAGCCTCGACCTCTTTGGCTTAGGTGATCCTCCTGCCTTAGCCTACCAAGTAGCTGGGACTACACGTGCATACCACCATGCTTGGCTAATTGTTTACTTTTTTGTAGAGATGAGGTCTCTTATGTTGCCCAGGCTAATCTTGACTCCTGGGCTCAAGCAATGCTCCTGCCTCGGCCTTCCAAAGTGCTGGGATTACAGGCTGAGCCACTGAGCCTGGCAGCATCTATTTTTTTTCTTTTTTAAAGAGTTGGAGTCTCACTCAGTCGCCCAGACTGGATTGCAGTGGCCGCTCCCAGCCATCACAGCCTCAACTCGCTGGGCTCCGGCGATCCTTCTGCCTCAGCCTTCCGAGTAGCTGGAATTACAGGAACGCGCTACCATGCCCGGCTGATTTTTTGATTTATTGTAGAGATGAGGTCTCGCTGCCCAGGTGGGTCTCGAACCCGCGGGCTCAGGCAATCCACTCACCTCAGCCTCCCAAAGGCATGGGATTACAGGCTGAGCCACCGAGCCCGGCTGGCAGCATCTATTTTTAATGGAAAGAGAATGCAGGCAAAATGCCAAGAGAGGATTAGAGGAACTGCTTTGTGTTCTCACAGCACAAAAGTCAGTCATAAGAAAAAAAATATTCGAGACCCGCCTGGGCAACTTGGCGAGACCTCATCTCTACAATAAATCAAAAAATTAGACGGGAGTGGTAACGCATGCCTGTAATTCCGGCTACTCGGAAGACTGAGGCAGAAGGATTGCCGGAGCCCAGCAGGTCGAGGCTGCGATGGCCGGGAGCGGCTACTGCACTCCAGTCTGAGTGACAGAGAGAGACTCCAACTAAAAAAAAAACAAAAAATAAATAGCTTCTAAACAACATGGAGAGATGAGACAAAATCAGATAAAACAAGATAAAATCAGAGAGTTAGGTGGAGTATTCTCACCTCAAAATAGTTGACATGATGCAGTAACCACAAAAATTACATAATAGCATGAGGAAAAACAATAGGTATTCTTATCAGCAACATATTCCTAATTTTCTTAAAGGCTAGGTTTTAAAAACTGACAAGATACTGAACACAGTTCAGTAAGACAGAGCTAAGCTGGAAGCCCAGAAACAATCGCCATCAGTTTTCAGCATAATGTTTTAGAAACTCAAGCCCACTGAGGTGAATGCTGCTATTTACAAGAGAATGGAAATATTTTCATTTAAAATTTTCTGAACAAAACTGAACGTCTTTTCACGTGTTTTTTCCTACGACGATTTCAGCGAGAGCAATGCAGATCTTAAAAAAAAATTTTTTTTTGAGTTGGTGTCTCATTCATGTCACCCAGGCTGGAGTGCAGTGGCATGCTCATGGCCACCACAGCCTCGACCTGCTGGGCTCCAGTGATCCTTCCGCCTCTGCCTTCCAAGTAGCTGGAACTACAGATGCAAGCCACCACCCTCGGCTAGTTTTTGTGATTTATTATAGAGACGCGGTCTCACCAAGTTGCCCAGGCTGGTCTCCAACCCCTGGGCTTAGGCAATTCTCTTGCCTCGGCCTCCCAAAGTGCTAGGATTACAGGCTGAGCACCGCGCCTGGTCGAATGCAGATCTTAAGTGGTATCAGCATTTTGTCATGAAACAAAGCTTGTTGTGCCTCTTAGTGTTAATTGTCACGTGCAATCCTTTAGAATATAATTTCTCATGCAGGATGAAGTCACAATGTTCAATGACCTTTTTTGTTTGTGTTTGTTTTTTGAGTTGGAGTCTCACTCTGTCACCCAGGCTGGTGTGCAGTGGCATGATCTTGTTCACCGTAGCCTCAACCTCCTGGGCTCAGGCGATCCTCCTGTCTCAGCCTTTCTAGTAGCTTGGACTATAGGCAGGCGCCACCATGCCCAGTTAATTTTTTCAGTAGAGATGGGAGTCTCACTATGTGGTCTAGGCTGGTCTCAAACTCCTGGGCTCAAGCAATCCTCTTACCTTGGCCTCACAAAGTGTTGGGATTACAGGCATGAGCCACCACATCTGGCCTCACTGAACTTTGTATAGTGGTTTATACACAAATGAATTGGAAATGGACCCTGTCCTTAAAAAGCAAACAAAGAAAACATGGACAACATGCTGTGGTCAGTCTGAGAAGGATAGTCTTGACTGGGGAGACACAGAAGGCTTCCGACAGGGTGGGTGGGGCCTTGAGCATAACCCTCAGGGTAAAGAAGGGGGTGTATTCCAGGCAGATGGTGCCTGCATGAGGTCACACAGCAAGTGGTGAGCAAAGACTTCAAATGCCATGTCAACAAGTGCAGACTACTCATCCCTCCACCCTCAGAGCAAACATGCATAGTTCAGAGATGATTCTTACCCCATCCACGGCGACATAGGCTCGATCATGGACTCCGTTGAAGGGGGAGGAGAGAAGTGCCGGGTTGCTGCAGTCTTGAGGAAGTGTTGTTCGGTACAGCACAAACCCAAAATACTGGTTAGAAAAGGATTTAAGAGAGATGCATCAAGTCATCCTTGTCGTTCATTTAAAGTGAACTTGGTTACCCTGGATCTGTATGACAGTGATGTTTTGAAAACCGTAAGGAATGTAAAACTTCCCCCACCTCCAGGAAAATTCAATCTGAAAAAGGAAACTGGCTTTTTAAAAAAATTTTTTTTTTTTTAGCAGACAGGGTCTCATTCTGTTGCCTAGGCTGGAGTATAGTGGCACAATCATACCTCACTGCAGTCTTGAACTTCTGGGCTCAATTGATCCTCCTTCCTCAGCCTCCCAAGTAGCTAGGACTAAAGGTGCGTGCTATCACACCTGGCTAATTTTTAAATTTTCTTTATAGAGATAAGGTCCTCCTATGTTCCCCAGACTGGTCTTGAACTCCTGGCCTCAAGTGATTTTCCTATTTCACCCTCCCAAACCAATAGGATTACAGGTGTGAGCCACTATACTTGGCTTTACTTTTTTTTTTTTTTTGAGTCGGAGTTTCACTCTGTAGTCCAGGCTGGAGTGCAGTGGAATGTTCATGGCCACCCCGACATTGACTTGCTGGGCTCAGGTGATACTTCTGCCTCGGCCTTCTAAGTTATAGTTGGAACTACAGGCATGTGTCACCGTGCCCAGCTTATTTATTTATTTATTGTAGGGACGAGGTCTCACCAAGTTGCCCGGGTTGGTCTTGAGCCCCTGAGCTCAGGCAATCTTCTTGCCTCAGCCTCCCAAAGTGCTGGATTACAGGCTTGAGCCACCACACCTGGCCAGCTTTACATTTTTAGATCATACAATAACTATCATAATAGTAAACTGTAAGGAACCCTGAAGAATGTCTTACCAAGCATCCCTTTCTGACAAGAAGAAACTGAACCCTCACAGGTTAAATCATTTGCCCACAGTCACTACAGGGTAATCCATATCAAGCAAACATTATGGATGTTAACTCAAGAAACAAAGCCAATAAAGACCAACAACACGGGCTTCTGCACTACACTGGAGTCCAGTCTCTCTCTCTCTCTCTCTTTCTTCTTCCCCCCAATCGCCAAAAAAAAAATAGACCAACAGCCGGGCTCGGTGGCTCAGCCAGTAATCCCGCGCCTTTGGGAGGCTAAGGCGAGTGGATTGCCTGAGCCCGCGGGTTCGAGACCCGCCTGGGCAGCGAGACCTCATCTCTACAATAAATCAAAAAATCAGCCGGGCGTGGTAGCGCATGCCTGTAATTCCGGCTACTTGGAAGGCTGAGGCGGAAGGATCGCTGGAGCCCAGCTGGTCGAGGCTGCGGTGGCCGGGAGTGGCCACTTCACTCCAGTCTGGGCGACAGAGTGAGACTCCAACTCAAAAAAAAAAAAAAAAAAAAATAGACCAACACCACCACCGACAACAAAAGACAAATAACAACAAAACCAAGACATGAAGTTCTGCCAACAGAAGCAAAACTAAGAAAATCCAACAAAAAAGCAAGATATATAAAAACAAAGTCAACAGATGAAGTAAAACCTTCTCCAGGTTCTTGGGCTAAATCTGCTCTAACAAAACAAGAGTCAATAAGCCGGGCGTGGTGGCATGCACCTGTAGTCCCAGCTACTTAGGAGGCTGAGATGGGAGGAGTTCCAGTCCAGGCTTGGCAACATAGTGAGACCTTGCCTCTAAAAAAAATAATAAATGGCTGGGTTCAGTGGCTCAGTCTGTAACCCTAGCACTTTGGGAGGCAGAGGCGAGTGGATTGCCTGAGCCCGCAGCTTCCTCAATAAAACAAAAATTAGCTGGACGTGGTAGCGCATGCCTGTAGTTTTGTCTACTTGGAAGGCTGAGGCAGAAGGATCGCCGGAGCCCAACAGGTCGACACTGGGGTGACCGTGAGTGTGCCACTGCGCTCCAGCCTGGGCAACAGAGTGAGACTCCAACTCAAAAAAAAAAAAAAAAGTCAATCAAAACTGGAGGAGCTCGGGGGAAAGAGACAGTTGAGAGTCTAAGCTGCAACCCATCATTACGTCAGAAAACAGCTTTAGATGCTGACATCCCTGGTCCAAAAGGAAAGCCTCAAACAATCTGCCCCAGCAGTAATGGCATCCTTAGAATTCTAGTAATTGACTTTGCCTATTTTCTTCTGGCTGTGGACACCAGCAAGGGCGAGCCAGGACAAAATCCTGAGTTTCAGAAGAGAATCCAAACAAAAATTCAGATATCCTGCCCTGAGAAGGACACATCACCTTTGCTGTGTTCATGCTAACAATGTTTTACTGAATCTAGTGAGGAACAGTCGACAAACACCCTGAATCTTCAAAAATGTCCACGTCATCAGAAACAGCCGTGGGAATAGTTTCAGAGGAAAGAGAACTAAAGAGATAGTATAACTAAATGCAACATGTGGCCACAGATTGGAAACTGGATTGAACAAAAAAATTAAGCCATAAAAGACATTATTGAAATGATCAGGGACACTTAAATATAGGATGTGTATTAAATAATAGGATTGTATTGATGTTAAATTTCTTAAGTGTGATCATTGTATTGAGGTCACGTAAGATATGTTCTTTTTCTTAATAGATATAAGGTGTGACAGGTCGTGGTGACTCACGCCTATAATCCCAGCAGTCTGGGAGACTGAGGTGAGAGGATTGCCTGAGCCCACAGGTTCCAGACCAGCCTGGGCAACTTGGTAAGACCTCTTCTCTACAATAAATCAAAAAATAAGCCGGCATGGTAGCGTGTACCTGTAGTTCCAGCTACTTGGAAGGCTAAGGCACAAGTATTGCCTGAGCCCAGCAGGCCGAGGCTGCGTGGCTGTGAGCGTGCCACTGCACTCCAGCCTGGGTGACAGAGTGAGACTCCGACTCAAAAAAGATATAAGGTGTGGTATTTAAGGGTAAAGTGTCATGGTGTTGACAATTAATAAATGGTCTAAAAAAGGAAAGCAGTTGACAAAAACACACACACACACACACAAGAGAGAACAACACACAAGTGAAGTAACGTAACAATCGGTGAAAGTAGCTAAAACATATACAGGTACTTGTTGTACTCATCTTCCAACTTTTTTTAAATTTGAGATTTTCCAAAATAAAAAACTGGGAAAAACAGATGAAGCAGTGTCTGGAAATACATACACACACACACACACACACACACACACACACACACACACACACACACGCTCTGTTCTCTTCAAATGCAGGAAAAAGAATGGCCAAGAACCCAGTCTGCTATACCATTGAGCTAATTAAGAAGAAATAAATTGTCTTTTTTGAGGATTAAAATAATGACTTCCACTGATGCTCAGTAAAAAAGATGAATTAATTAGATCAGTCCGTGCACTCAGTTTATAACTTGCACAGAATGATGTGGAAGCAAGATGAGCTACTTCCTGTGTGAGTGATAAGACACGGGGGTAACATAGGAAAGATCCACCCACTGTGCAGTATGGAAAGCTCAAGGGGGCCTGGAGATCCAGGGTCAACCTACCTGGGGTCTGATCCATTTGTTCACCACTTTGGCCCCTGTCCTCAGGACAGGAACCACAAGGCAGTACAGAGAGTACAGATTTACAAGTAGAAAAAAGGTGAAGCGTTACGTTTGCAGGCCTACCTGTTTCACCTGGATAAAAGTCAAGGGATAAAGGCTCTTTACGGGCCCGGAGGGACACAGGATGTCCAGAGCTGCCTCCACTGTCTTTAACTGAAAAGAAACAAAAGCAGCATCCTTCACTCATGGCCCCTGTGCTGGTCATCAGAGCAGAGGGCAGCATCATTTCCAAATGTGGATCTGACCAAATGCCACGCAAACCCACATTGTTCAAACCACTCAATGCTGCTTCCAGTCACCTTTAGTCCTCTCCATCTACTCCCTAACTCATGATGAAAAATGTAAATGATGGTAGTTTAAAAAGTTTCAAACATACCTATTCAGAAACTCACCCTGCTCAGAGATCTATAAAAGGTCTTTAAAACGAATGAAAACCAAGGCTCAGAGACTGCCTCCTTGTAAAGCCTCTCCCAACACCCCCAAGTGAAGTAGCTACCACGTAAAAATAGCAACTAGAGGCCAATTACATTAAACTAACATTTGAAATGCCATTATGACATCACTTTAATACGTAATACTTCCTAGTTACTTCAGCCTCCCCTGGACTTGCCTGTAGCGTGTCATTATTTTTTTTAAAGATGTGGGGTATAATTCAGGATTAGGTGTACAAGTGGTCATCGTACAGGTAAAGTTTGGGCCTCCCTTTGGTCCCCACTTTGCCTGGTTTGAGATCAGGTACTCTTATTGATGTTGTGTCCTCCCCCACCCCCAGCAGTATCCCGCTACTGCCGATCCTTTTCTTACCGTATTTCTGGTAAATGTTCAGGGTCTGCTTATGAGTGAAAACATGTGGTATGCTGTTTTTTGTTTCTGTGATAGATCACTGAGTTATAGCATATCATTCTGTCTTCCTCAGCAGACTGTCAGCTCCTTAAGGGTAAGATGGGTACTATGCTCACCTCCAATGCCCAGAACATAGCAGATACTAGATAAACACTTAATCCAAGGGATTGTGTCTTCTTGCAACCCAGAATATATATTCCATCGCAGCAATAACAACGACAACAGCTTCCAGTCACTGCGTGCCTACATACTCTGCATGTTACATGCACTATCTCATTTAATGCAGTGGGGCAGGCATTACTTTCTCCATATTACAGATGAGGAAACAGATTTAGAGAAGCTCACTTGAGTAATGGTAGAGCCAGGATTGCAGTTTGGTTTGGCTCTAACACCCAGGGCCTTCTGTGGCATGATATTGGTCAACAAATTTTGTTTGTTGTTTTTGAGTTGGGGTCCTACTCTGTTGTCCAGGCTGGAACACAGTGGTGTGATCATGAAGAGGATGGCTCATGGCAGTCTTGACCTCCTGTGCTCAAGTGTTCTTTCAGCCTCAGGCTTCCAAGTAGCTGGGACTACAGGCACCCGCCACCATGCCCGGCTAATTTTTTTATTTTTGTTGTATAGACGAGGTCTCACTCTGTTGCCCTGGCTGGTCTCAAACTCCTGAGCTCATGCAATTCCCCCCTCTCGGCCTCCCAAAGTGCTGGGATTACTGGTCAGGAATTTTATAAACACTTTCTACAGTTACCTTGCTGATATGTAGTATCTTGAGGGAAAAAAAAAAATCTTAAAAATTGTTTTGTAATTAAAAAAAATTGGAAAATATAGTTTATTTAAGAGCAAATGGGAGAGACAGAGGATTCACCTCCCTTAGGTAGAGGACAAATCCAAAGCTAAGAAAGCAAGGTGGCCATAGCTCAAAGAGCACATGGCCTGGCCAATGTGCAGATCATTTGGGTCTGTGTTTACCAAAACAATAGCAGAAAGTAAAATAGGGAGAAAGAGAGTGAGAGCGAGATAGATAGAGATAGAGAGAGAGGAGGAGAGAGGGGGGCGGAGAGAGAGAGAGAGAGAGAGAGAGAGAGAGAGAGAGAGAGAGAGAGAGAGAGAGGAGATTCACCTCCTCAAGGTAGGGGAGGGGAAAAAAAGTGTTAATTACAATTTCATCAGCCGAGCTCGGTGGCTCAAACCTGTAATCCCAGCACTTTGGGAGGACGAGGTGAGTGGATTGCCTGAGCCCGCGGGTTCGAGATCCACCCGGGCAACTTGGCGAGACCTCGTCTCTACAATAAAGCAAAAACTAGCTGGGTGTGGTAGTACGCTCCTGTAGTTCCAGCTACTTGGAAGGCTGAGGCGGAACGATCGCTGGAGCCCAGCAGGGCGAGGCTGTGGTGGCTGGAAGCATGCAACTGCACTCCAGTCTGGGCGACAGAGTGAGACTCCAACTCAACAACAACAAAAAATTTCATCAAGCCAGCTACTCGCATGGATGTTTTCCCACCTTGACAACTAAAGGCATTCAACTCACAGTAAAAGCTTTTATTCTATATAACTCTGCTCTACATAAATTTAACTGTTATATGCCAATTTGCTAACAAATAGTATACATTTAGTTAACAAGGAAAAGTCATTTCTGTTCACACAACTTTCCTTCATGGTAAATAGAATGTGCTTTTGATTGGACTTAGAGGGTGAGGGTGTAGGGGGAAAAAAAAGAATGTGCTTTGGTACTATGCTAGATTTGTCTTGGTGGTGTTGTTGTTTTGAACATTTAGAGTTATTTTCTGTTGCATAAAAATAAATTTCTCACGGCTCTAACACAAACCAACCTCTGCCTTAAGTAGCTATAGCAATGAACCAGTAGAAGGTGTTCCTTTTACAAGTGTGATTAAAGTTTGATTAATCTAAAGAAAGATTCTTATCAGAGAGAGAGAGACCACATTCTTTGTAGAATGTAGCACACATTATCTGACACTAGGTGGAAAATGTTAGAAAAGCCCAACCAACCAACCCTGTCAAAGGGCTTCTTGAATGGAAAAATTATATAATCATGTTTAGCATTTTGCTTAAAGATAAGAACGTATGATGCTATTTTAGGATATCAAGATTCTTGAGAAATAAGTAGCTGTTCATTTTTTTTCTTATGCATTAATACATGTAGGAGTTTTGGATTATAGAAGGGGAAAACCTGAAGGCACAGATGGTCAAAACAAATTGACTTTGGCTTACGTCACTCCTTCAGACTAGAAAATAAAACCGGTCTGCTTTTTCTCTTTTCCTAGAAGACAATGCCCTTAACTCCGATTTATGATTAATTTCTAGTTTTTCCCCTGATGTCCCCTTTACCATATAAACCACAGACCATAAAAATTAGGACATGGGTCAGACGTGGTGGCTCAAGCCTGTAATCCCAGCACTTTGGGAGGCTGAGGTGAGGGGACTGCCTGAGCCCGCGGGTTTGAGACCCACCTGGGCAACTTGGCGAGGCCTCGTCTCTACAATAAAGAAAAAAAAGCCGGGCTTGGTGGCTCAGCCTGTAATCCCGCGCCTTTGGGAGGCTGAGGTGAGTGGATTGCCTGAGCCCGCGGGTTCGAGACCCGCCTGGGCAACTTGGCGAGGCCTCGTCTCTACAATAAAGAAAAAAAAGCCGGGCTTGGTGGCTCAGCCTGTAATCCCGCGCCTTTGGGAGGCTGAGGTGAGTGGATTGCCTGAGCCCGCGGGTTCGAGACCCGCCTGGGCAGCGAGACCTCATCTCTACAATAAATCAAAAAATCAGCCGGGCATGGTAGCGCATGCCGGTAATTCCGGCTGCTTGGAAGGCTGAGGCGGAAGGATCGCCGGAGCCCAGCAGGCCGAGGCTGCGGTGGCCGGGAGCGGCCACTGCACTCCAGTCTGGGCCACAGAGTGAGACTCCAACTCAAAAAAAAAAAAAAGCAAAAAAAATTAGCCGGGTGTGGTAGCGCGTGCCTGTAATTCCGGCTACTTGGGAGGCTGAGGCAGAAGGACTGCCAGAGCCCAGCAGGTCAAGGCTGGGGTGGCCGTGAGCGTGACACTGCATTCCAGCCTGGGTGATGGAGTGAGACCCAAAGGAAAAAAAAAATTAGGACTTGATTTTGAGATGGAGGGGAATGTATATCACGGGCAGAAAGTGCTTGCGATTTTTGGGAACTCCTTAAAAAAAGGTGAATTAAGGACAAGAGCCCCACCAGCCAGAACAATGAGGTGGTGTGTTATCGCCACAAAGGCTCCTGACACAACTTTTGACAACTGATAATGGAACCAAAATGACCCAAATGATCTAAGATGCTCACTACTCCCACAAGGTCCCGCCTGCTCATCCCATCAATAAGCATGAGTATCTCTCACCTCCATCTTGACATTTTTCCCAGAAACATCACTGACGCAATCAGGCTTGCAGAAAACAAATTCACAGAAAAACAACAAACCAATTCCCCAGCATCGCACTTTCACTCACTGCTGCTAAATTTCACTTCCTCGCTCCCATCTCATTTCAACGTTTCTGTTATTTTTTTCTTACCTTTTTCAGAGCAACTTTTCCATATGCAAACTTTGGTGTGGATGGAGGGATGGGACCGTCTGGTACTTTCTCAAACTATAAACCAGAGTAGAAATAGAAAGCGAGAGAAAAAAAAGCTGTTAAGCTTTCAAGAAACATATGCATACAACTTGTTTTTCAAAGGGAAGGTCAAAGATTCAAAGGAGAGTGCTAGTGATTTTTGGAAAGACAAAGGAACAAGGGACTTCTTCCAAAACAGGGTCTGGTCAAGTTTTTACCTGTAAGTGTAGGCCTGGGTTTTAAGCTCCAGGAATCACCCAAATAATTATAGAACAAAAGACTACAAAGTGAAAGAGCAAAAACAAGTAGGGAGAAAGAGGGTAAACAGTGGAAGACAAAAAGGAATGCAAACTAGTGCAACCTCTTTGGAAGACAGTGTGGCTAGAAATTGACCTTCCATATGACCCAGCAATTACCCTATTGGGAATATGCCTGGAGGAACTCAAATCATTCTACAAAAAAGATACCTGCACATGTATGTTTGTTGCAGCTCTATTCACAATAGCAAAAACATGGAACCAACCATGTTGCCCACTGAAGCTGGACTGGATAAAAAAAAAGTGGTGCATATACACAATGGAATATTATGCAGCCACAAAGGACAAACATATGGACTTCGCAGCAACTTGGATGGATTTAGAATCGATCATACTCAGTGATCTATCACAGAAAAAAAGAACAGAGTTCCATATGTTCTCACTCATAAGTGGGCCTTGAACAATTATAATACTATAAGACAGGGATTGGCAGTAGTGGGAAACTATCAGGGGAGGGGGGATGGATTGGCAGTTAAGGGAAACTGCTAGGGGAGGGAGGGGCGTATCTCATCAACAAGGGTACCTGCATAATCAATGGTTTGTATACCTAACTCTGAATTGTACCCCATATCTTTATAATTAAAAAAAAAAAAAAAAAAGCAGTGGAAGATTGGGGAGTGGCAAAAAAAAAAAGACACAGGTATGTGTCAAAACAGACTCTGAAAGGGGGTAGCCTGGAGTAGGAAAAATACCCATCTTACTGGTAGATAAAGTGTTGTATCAATGTTAAATCCACAGTGACTATGAACAAGGGTATTTCCATATTCTTATGAAACATATACTGAAGCATGACTTGTGTGATCCACCAATGGTTTAGAAAACATACACTGTAGGGTAGAGGCTATAAGCATATGCATAAATAATAAAGCAAGAAGAGTAAAATGCTGACACCAGAGAATCTAGGGGTGGGGGGAGATATACAAATGCTGTTTGTACTGTTTTCATTCTTGTAATTTTTCTGTAAGCTTGAAACTATTTTTACATTATTTTTAGTTATTTTGAGTTGGGGGTCTCACTCTGTTGCCCAGGTTGGAGTATAGTGGCACGATCACAGCTCACCACAGTCTCAGCCTCCTAGGCTTAGGTGATCCTTTGGCCTCAGCCTCCCGGGTAGCTGGGAGTACAAGTATGTGCTACCATGCCCAGCTAACTTTTTGGTTTTTTTTTTTTTTTTTTTGAATTGGAATCTTACTTTGTCATCCAGGCTGGAGTGCAGTGGCCGCTCCCGGCCCTCGCAGCCTCGACCTGCTGGGCTCCGGTGATCCTTCCGCCTCAGCCTTCCAAGTAGCTGGAACTATAGGCAAACACCACCAAGCCTAGCTAATTTTTTGATTTATTGTAGATGCTACAAGGTCTTGTCAAGTTGCCCAGGCTGATTTTGAAACCTTGAACTCTGGCAATCCTCTCGCCTTGGCCTCCCAAAGTGTTGGGATTATAGGCTTGAGCCACTGCGCCCAGCCTAATTTTTTGTAGGAATGAGACCTTACTATGTTGCCTAGGCTAGTCTCTGAACTCTCCTATGTGAACAACTTCCCTCTTGCTGGCTTAAAAAAATTCCCTTTCTTATCATTTCGTAACATTTTAGAAGAGAGCAGAAAGAAATACATGGTCGATCAGTCAGCCATCTTGAACTGGAAAGTCCTTTGTACTCTTAATATTCTATGAACCTGTATTTTTGTAAAATTTTAAAAAGGTAATATTAGAAGATATAAATATGAGACCAAAGAATCACTACTGATCTTAGACAAAGCAGATGTTGCAAGACCGCTTCTTCCTGCTTTCCCTGAAGTCTAGTCCACATTCCTTCTCTGTGGGCCACGTGCCACCTCTCTTTCTTTCACCCCACATTCTGGCCTATAAAAGCAGAAAACACCAATTCACAGAGAGAGAGCTGTCTGCTTTGTTTTCTGAGGTCTCCTATTTACCTGTACATCACAGTGACCATGCCATAACTAATTCCTAAAGTCAAAGTGGATTCCAATTTAACTAGGACTGTAATCTCTTCTACTACATTGGAAGGAAAAGTCACTGATCTCTTCATTCCACCTACATTCAGGTCACTTTGATGCAGGGCTTGGGTGTCAGCTGTGTCACCTCATTTACTACTCAAAAAGGTCCTCATACCTTCTTGTGACATTTCTCCTTTAGAGATGACACTGAGGAACTGCTCACGATTATAAAGAGGACAAGGAAGGGCACCGTTGTTGTGACCCCAAGTCTACATTTCCCCTGCCCCACCTGGCCTCCTTAATGTGGTAACAATAATAGAAGAGATTCTGCTTTACCTGTAATTCCCAAAACCAAACCCCCAACAAAACCTTTTCTCATGTGGTTTCCCACCTAGAACCTTTCCCTATGCACACATAAATCATAAATTAAAAAAATACTTTGGCAACTTGCTACTGCCACTTGCCAAAAGCAAATGTTAAAAATAATTTGGGCCGGGCTCCATGGCTCAGCCTGTAATCCCAGCACTTTGGGAGGCCGAGGCAAAAGGACTGCCTGAGCCCATGGGTTTGAGACCCACCCGGGAAACTTGGTGAGACCTCATCTCAACAATAAATCAAAAATTAGCTGGGCGTGGTAGTACACACCTAGAGTTCCGGCTACTTGGAAGGCTGAGGTGGAAGGATTGCAGGAGCCCAGCAGGTTGAGGCTGCAGTGGCTGGGAGCGTACTACCGCACTCCAGTCTGGGCGCCAGAGTGAGATTCCAACAAAAAAAACCAATTTGACTTACTGCACATTATATTGCTTTAAATGGATATGACAGAATTCACATAATCATCCTTTCTATATTAGAGGATGAATTATTTCCAATTTTGATAGAAATATCAAAATTTACAAGTTGCAATGAACAACTTCTTGATAATAGCATGATAATTTTCATTTATTTAATTTAATTTTAATTTTTTATTTGAATTGGAGTCTCACTCTGTGGCCCAGGTGGGAGTGCAGTGGCATGCTCATGGGTACCACAGCCTTGACCTGCTGGGCTCAGGTGATCCTTCTGCCTCAGCCTTCCAAGTAGCTGGAACTACAGGTGTGTGCCACCATGCCTAGCTAATATTTTATTTATTTATTGTACAGACAAAGTCTTGCAAGTTGCCCAGGTTGGTCTCAAACCCCTGGGCTAAGGCAATTCTCTTACCTCCACCTCCCAAAGTGCTGGGATTACAGGTATGAGCCACCGCACCCAGCAACATAATCATTAAATAAAGTTTAAAAAATAAATAAAGCCCCAGGCCGGGCTCCGTGGCTCAGCCCCTGTAATCCCAGAACTTTGAGAGCCGAGGCAAGTGGATTGCCTGAGCCTGTGGGTTTGAGACCAGCCCTGACAACTTAGAGAGACCTCGTCTCTACAATAAATAAAAAATTAGCTGGGTGTGATAGTGCACGCCTGTAGATCCAGCTACTTGAAAAGCTGAGGTGGAAGGATCACCGATGCCCAGCAGGTCGACTCTGTGGTGGCCATGAGTGTACGTGCCACTGCACTCCAGCCTGGGTGATGGAATGAGACTTCAACTCAAAAAAATAAAAAATAAATAAAATAAAGCCCCAAGGGAGGGTTGATTAGGTCAAAGAATATGAGTATTTTATATGACTCTTAAAAGAGAGTCTCAAATTTTCACTAAATGTCTATACTTGTTTAAGTGCTTGACCCAATTTTCTATTTGGATCTTGATACATTCTTGTATGTGCATGTGTGTGCATGTGTGCGTGTGTGTGTGTGTGTGTGTGTCAGGCTCTCACTCTGTCACCCAAGCTGGAGTGCAGTGGCAGAGTCATGACTAATGAGGCTCACGGCAACCTCCATCTCCTTCTGCCTCAGCCTCCCAAGTGGCTTGGACTACAGGCACATGCCACCGTGCCTGGCTAATTTTTTAGTAGAGAAGAGGTTTTTCTATGTTGCCCAGGCTGATCTCGAACTCCTGGGCTCAAGCAATCCTTTCACTTTGGCCTCCCAAAATGCTGGGACTGCAGGCATGAGCCACCACGCCCAGCTGAATCTTGATATCCTAGTCCTTATAATATAGATATTAAGCTTTCATCTTTCTATCCTACTTGCTATGATTTTGTCTTTTCATTTTAATTTTAGCAATTTTTTTTATGGATACTAGTTTGATTACTGTATAGCAAAATCTTCATCTTTACCCAGCTGATTAGTGTTTCAGAAATGAAATGAACAAATATACCCAAATACTGTGCTTCTAAACCTTTATTCCTCCACAATAATTTGTGTTTCAATCATAGTTCTCAGACCAATCACAAATGTTGCCTCTTATCACATTTGTTTAGCTATACAAATTTGACATGGGAAGATGCGCTTTTCCCTATGGAATCCATTAGATTCAATGGTGATCAGCTTTTCATTTACTAAGATATCTCATCTTCCCATTCATTCATTCAACAAACTCTTTCTTTTTTGAAGACAGGGCCTCATTCTGTTGCCCAGGCTGGAGTGCAGTGGCACAATCATAGCTCACTGCAGTCTTAAACTCCTGGGTTCAAGTGATCCTTCTGCCTCAGCCTCCTGTGTAGCTGGAACTACAGGTCTGTGCCACCATGTCTGGCTAATTAAAAAAAATGTTTTTATACAGATGTGGTCTCATTATGTTGCCCAGGCTGGTCTCGAAAGCCTGGCCTCCCAAAATGCTGGGATTACAGGTGTGAGCCACTGTGCCCAGCTGAAGAAACTCTCACTAAACGTACACTGTATA